TCTCATAAATATAATCATGCATACTCTGGCAGTTAATTTAAAATTTCAACTGTTAATTAGTGGAAATTAATTGCCATGTAGTTGTTTGTAAGGAGGTAAGTCATGCAACCGTCAACACCTTGCCGGTGTTGACGGTTCATTGGTGTTCTAATGATACTTGAATCCTAAAATTACTCGCAATTCATCTGAATTTGCTTTAATCGTTTTTTTTTCGTTCGATTCTTTGCCGGCCATCAGGTTATCTGGCGTAAAGTTCAATCGCTGGGAATGGTGCGCGCTTTGAGGCTTGACGAGCGACTGGAAGCTGCTATTAAAATGGCTATGGCCTTGCCTTTTTACCAGCGCAAGATGTGGAGGCTGGTATTGTGGCAGTAGAACGTGCTGCTGCCGCTGTTGACGGCTTCCCTGCCTTTCTGGAAATCAGCCAAAAGAAATTGCCACGTGGAAAGTCCGGTTCGTAAATTCTGGAAAATATTCTCTGTATTGAGTTGGCTTTTACTCGTTTCATATATCATAATTTTGATTATAATAATGCAAAAACTTGCTAATTTTCCTACCTACTGCTATGGTAGCCACGCCGCCGACCGTACGTGACGAAGACGATTGGTCTGATATATCGGGAGATGACAGATGACATGATCTGTCCATTATCTGGACAGATCATGGTGGAGTACTTATCTGGACTAAACCCCAATGCAATTAACAAAAAAACACAGACCTACTAAACAAATTATATTCTTCAAGAGGAGCTTTTATCGTCACTTTTCTTAAGGCGGGATTGCCGTCAAACGTGGCCCCCGGAAAACTGATCTCTACTTAAAATATGTAAGAGACAAGTAATGGCGCCAATCCTCACTGTAAGATAATTGACCCAAGTTTCTTCATTGAATCTTCTTCATTGCCTCTGTTTTGGTTTTTTATTCTCATGGTAACAACTGGTATAAAGTACAAGACAAGTATATATATGCCCAAATCTCTATTCTTTTCTGTTTCAGGACCCAACCATCTTGAGCTGTTCACTAACTCAAGATGTCTGTGCAGTCGAAGATTCTTCCATCAGGAGAAGTAGTGTATACGGTGCAAAATCCTCAACTTGAGATTTTCAACGAGGACGAGGTTCCTAGACGGCCGCGACGGGTTTTCAGGAAGGAAGCTAGAGTGACATCAGCAATCACCTGCTCGCATCTCACTGCCTATACCGAAGGTATAGCCACTCCTGAGATCAAATCCTTTCTGGATAAGCATGCGCCTCCCAACTATCACCACGAGGAGACGCAGAACTATGCCTCACGCTTGTACTTTGAGCTCTGGACAAAAAGTACAGGCTCTGAGGCTATACCCGCTGATGTTGCCCAAGCGGCTCAGGACCTCTGCTCCATCTCTACACTCAACTGGTGTGATGAGGCCATTACTGTGGACTTCGAGGCATTGAGAACCCATCCTGATATTAAAAAGGTGTGGTATCTCAGAAAACATTGGGAAGAATTGATCCTCTCACTGCAATGTAGGCCGGAAGAGGAGATGGAGGTGAAATGCAAACATCTGAAAATACGAGTTGTCACACACTCTTCCATTTGCGTGATCTACTTTCAGTCAGGTCGTCAACTCGTCACAAACTGGTTGAGCATCTTGGCGTTTCGTGATAGCCTAGCAGCCATCATGGATGGGCTTATCTACTCATTCGTTAGACTCCATGAAGGGGACAACAAAGACCACGACTTTTCAAGCTTTTGTGAATAGTGTAATACACTCCTTAGCTGAAATTGGGTTTTATACCTACGATGCCCTAAAGAACCTACATGCACTAAGTGTGGGTGCAATCTTGAAATTCGATGGTTCTGATCTACAAAACGAGTTGTATGAAAACATGAACAGTACACCTAATTGCAGTTTGAAAACTTTTATCAACCATTTCATCACCAACGCAAATGATGCTGTGGAACTTCATGAATTGGCTGGAGCAGCTAAGGCCTTCACGTACCCTGTGGTTGATATACAGGGAGGTGTAGACAACGTGTTGGAGAAGGCATTGATTTATAATCCATGTCGAGAAGCAGGGAACCTCTCATTGTTGATGTTCAGCAAGATTTTCATCAAGAACTATGTGAAGAAACACAGAAAATGGCCAAATCATACTGTGTGCGGAGAATTACCAGCCGACGTCTTATCATCTATCAGGGAAGGATCATGGCATGAACTCAAAGAAAGTTGGAAACCGGAAATATTTGAAAACATAATCCTTGAAAAGAATTTGGACTTTGACTTCCGACAGGATCCGACTACAACCCTGACTGACAAAGCCATGATGGGAGGTCTGAAAAGTTGGACGACGGAGTATGATACTGAGTATCACAAGCTTCGATACCAGTATCATCCCTTGAGAGCGGAATCAACTGGAAAAAGAGTGATCTTGCAATACTTAAAAATGCCCGAAGTAAATGTGCAACAGATCATGGTGGAGTACTTATCTGGACTAAACCCCAATGCAATGGCAAATACATTTTGCTTCAAAGAAAAATAGTTAAACAGGTTGAAACCAAGGGCCTTTACTAAACAAACTTTTGAATCTAGAATCTCTCAAACATGCCTCGAGCATAATATGAAGCAGATTTTGACGTATTTTCCCAAAACGTCTATGATAATGACTGGAGATGGCCTAATAAAATATCTGGTGACCAAATCTCGCTCCGGCTTTACCATTAAGGTATCAATCGACTTTCAAAAGTGGTGCCAATACCAACGCGAAGGACTCATTGGTCCAATAGCAGAAGAAATAGATCGCATCTTTGGCCTAGAGGGATTTTACTCATCTGTACACCGAATGACGAAAAGCACATGGTGGTTCTTTCAGGATGGAGCTAACATTCCCCAGCAAGATCGGGCAACTGGACTTCCTTTCATCGGGCCCCGTGCCATGTATAGACTAGAAACCCAGGGAGAAGGAATGTACCAGAGATTGTGGACCCTCGTCACTGCGTGCGGGATACTAGCACAGATGAATTTAGAAGGCCTCAAATGTGACTTAATCGGATCCGGAGATAATCAGCTATTGATCGTTGAGCGCGGACCTGACGAAACCGATGAGTTGATCCAAGCACGAATTAGTGCTGCACTGACACGCTTTTTCGACTTAGCATACCTGCCTGTAAAGATGGAGGAGACTTACATGGCGAAAAGGTATATGGAGTACGGTAAAACGTCATATTTTAATGGCGTCAGATTGTCAAACGGCCTAAAGAAAGCCAAGAGACTTGGATCCGAATCCCAGGAAACAACACCATCTATTAACACGAAGATGAGCGGAATATTCGGTACGGGGATCGCTCTAGCAGGAGAGGACGATGTTCCCATTGCGGCCTATTGTACCTCTGTTGTTGAAGCCATGATCACTCTCCAAATCAGAGGTAAAATTCAAGATGGTTACAAGCTCGGGGCTCTAATGATGATTCCGAGGGCACTTGGTAGATTAAAGGATAACGCGTATCCTTCTTTCTGCATACGAGGACTGGTTGACCCAGTGACGACGTGCCTATCATTGTATCGAACACTTGCTGTTCACAAGAATACTTATCCTCGCTTGTGGAGATCCTTCAGAAGCATCCCCGCGAAGTTGAGTAAATGGAATTGGTCTCAGGTCGTGCGGGATCCATACGCTCTTCCCTTTGCAAGACCAAGCGGATCAGATCAGGTGTTGCAAGAGACGATAGAAGCATGTCTTCCAGAATACACGGTCAACAAACAGATTCATTCGCTCCTCACTACTGAAGCAATTCACGAAGAGGGCAGACTTGTTGATTCACTTACCTGTATGGAACCGATGTCGCCTAAATTGGCAGCAGCCATTTTTGAGGCTTCCAACGTCTTGTTGCGTGACATCATACGAAATCAGTAAAATTGCGGAGAACTCGTCCAAAAGCTCCAAAGACAATATGGACAATCAGCAGCATCAGCAACGTCAATATAAAAATCAGCTGAAGCTGAAAAGTAGTTATCGCATATAAATAAGTAACCTCCAAGAAAGTTAGGATAGTAAATGAGAGAATCAATGAACTAGAAGCACTGAAACTATCACTTCTGGAGAAGATAATCCGAAAGCAAACGTTGCTTTTGCATGATGACCAAAATCCCATACCAAGGCAGTAAGAATAAAATGGAATAACGACAAAAACGTAAAGGATATCAATGTTTTCCAGTTTTAATTTAATTTGGTTGTCAACCAAAATAAACCTCCAAGGACATTGACGGGGATGATGATGCCGCCATGCGTGAAATGTCATTGGTCATGGGGCACTCCTATGGAACCAACAACAAAGATACACGGTCGGAACGCTGAAGATTCTATCACAAGATGAAAAAAACCATGGAAAAGGTTGACGCCTTAGTTGCCGAAGAGCGTATCAATCCGACAACTGTTCTTGGCAACGAGAATGTTATGGCAGAAGACGAAGTTGACATTGACGAAATCGACAACATTATCATCAGAGAAATAGAAGAGAATCGTCCGGATCCGGAGCGGGAAGATGAGGTGAGCGAACACGAGGATAACGAGGAGCTGGCACGCATGAGTATTCACGAGCGACACATGATGGAGCAGGTAGACGTAGAAGATTGTACCCTCTTCGATTTTGTTGATGTAATTGATGGGCCATTCATAGACTGCCTTCAGCCGGCGACTACAAGCAAAAGCGGCAAAACTGGAGCCGGCCATGTGCTCAAATCCTATATGAGAAGGGCCAGCATTCCCGATGGGGCAGGAGCTAATGATGTTTCATTGGCATCATCAAAAACCTGGATTTGAATCGGTCGCCTAATTCTTCAAACATTTCGGTCGCCAGTGTCTCATCATCGTCATCGGCCATGGACGTAAGCTTCGACAAGCGTCAAGAAGAATCGTCACCCTCGTCACTTGACATCTCTGTTGCGAACCCTTCGGAGAAGTCATCTTCATCGGCCATGGACGTGACCGTTGATGCCTCCTCAGAACCTGTGCTGGACTAGCGTCAAGAAGAATCCTCCTCGTCACTTGACATCTCTGTTACGAACCCTTCAGAGAACTCGTCGTCATCATCCATTGACATGACCTTTGATGAGGCTAAGGGTCCTAGGGCTGCTGCAGGGCAGTCCAACGACGGTTCCGAAGCGGCCCGAGGTCCTGATTCCTCATCAGCGTCATCATCCTCGGATGAAAATAGCTTACTTACCTAGGGACCTAGCGAAAGCCAGGAAAGCGATGACAAAGAAACTTGAGAAATTCAAATATGCTTTGAGCCGACATAAAAGGTTCATAAACAGAGATGGGGGTGACCCCTTTACCCATCTCACCATAAATACCTTCTGGTCATTCATTGTAAGGTTATTTATAGGAGATTTGCACAAAAGAACTAAGATTGTCAATTATCTTTTCAAAAAGAAAGAGTTTACACTTAAGAAAGCCAAGTAGATTTCATGCTGTACGAGCTTAGTCATATTTTTGAGAGGAATTTTTCTAATGTCATTTTAATTCAATATCACTCACTTTTTTAGTCTCTAGTCTAGTCAATTGTAAAGGAAATTATTTTAGTTTTATTGAATTTTTCATTTAAATTTAGTCTCTAGTTGATGCTTTCTTTTTGTGTAGAAAGTAAAACATTTTTAACTTCTTTGAATTCTGTAATGTCGAATTATTTTATCTAGTCTCCTCCTGTATTTTATGGAATCGTTTGTACAATGGAATTATTTTGAATAAAACTCGTTTGAAACTTCCTTCTCTTATTTGCCACATGATATCTAGGAGTAGCAAGTCTGCTGATGGAAGGAAAGGCTAAATCTGCGAGTATTATGCTGTCTCACAGAGGCCACCTACGCCGGTTTTGGCAGGGTGCGTGGGTCCAGAGGTGCTATCGGTGCATGTACAGTCAGCCTAGGCGTGCCAACAACTTCGTTGAATCATTCCACCGGGTGCTTTCTTGCGCTGTACCATCTCATCCAAACGCACTCTCGTTCCTCGGTAATCTGATGTTCGTAATTCTATGAGAGTGATATTTTTCTATGTAAATTAGGAGGTACATGACAATTATTCTACGATACAAATATGATAAAATTAGTGTTGCCTGTGAAACCACCACAGTCCTGCGCCGAATGGATCATCATGGTCCCTTCTCTCCAGTACGAGCCTTCAACACTTCTGGAAAAAATTCTCAACACTTCTATCGCGCGAAAAAATTCTTCATAACTCAGACAGTGCTAGCAGGAACCTTACTGTAGATATGAGTATGACACCCGCCATCAACCCCTTTTGAATCTATCCCTTGTGACAAATCTGCCTACAGTAGAGCGGTCACGCGTCTAATAACGATGAAGTTTGGAACCATGCATTACTATCTGAAACCTAACTTCTGATCTGATGCTGTGAGCGAATATGTACGTTATAGAACGGTCTCATAAAAGTCATGCAATTGGCGGCCTGGTGGTGCTTGGCAGTTTTTTCGCGAATACCCCATTCAAGACTATTTGACTTCGTGTTTGGTGGTGTCAAGCTCACGTCATTAGAATTTTTGTACTCACGTAATTTGAATTTTTCCAATCATCTAATTATAGGAGCCTTGCGCAAGATTGAGGCATACCAGGCCAGTGATTTCTTTCTCGCCACTGCTGGGCGATCGATTAGGCGCAGGAGGAAACCTTCCTATCTCGCCAAAGACACTCTTATCAGAGATGCAATGCGCGAATTTGGTAAGAACATAATTATCTCGGCGCTGAAGCGTAGGCCTGATGTGGCCTGTCGCCGATTCTTTTCCTTTTCGTGCCTTGTTCACAGAAGATCTAAAATCGTGTCATTTGACCGGCTCTTTTCATGACTGACAATAGTTTGAAGTAGCTACTAGACTTCCACCTAGGCATTTCCAATCTGAACATATATTTTTCCATAGCTTTATCTAGTCTGTTCTTGAACGTGTTCATACTTGGAGCGCCAACGATGTCATCGGGGAGGCTGTTCCATATGTCGGTGATTCAAAGCGAGAAGAAATTGTCGCGTGAAGTTGCAGCGCAGTTTTTTTAGCTTATAGCCGTGGCCCCTGGTGTTGGTTCTCGTTTCAAATTCTAGTAATCCTTCGGGGACCTTGTATAGACCATGAGTATACTTGTATACTTCAATGAGGTCCCCACGCAGACGTCGATGACTGAGGCTTGGAATCTTCATAATCTTCAATCTTTCTTCATAGGACTTGCCCTTCAAGCCTGGAACTATCCCTGTTGCACGTCTTTGAACATTCTTTATTAGATTTCTGTCCTTTTCAAATCTCGGTGACCACACAACGTTTCCAAACTCTAGATTCGGGCGCACGACAGCAACAAACAACTGCTTCATCGCTTCTGCATCTAGGAACTCGTATGAGCGTCTGATTAGTCCAAGAAGTTTGTTGGATCTTCTTCCACACTAGACTTTTCAATCATTACTCTCTCGTTGCAGCCATGTCTTCTCATACTGTAATCTTGCTGTTCATTGTTCTTCCCGAGGTGAAGTACTTTACACTTGTCAAATTCATCTTACACTTCGAACTTTTATGAGAACATCCGCATTGAATCTGACTCACTGCACTATACGATCATTGATGACTATAAATCGAGTGCAGAAAACCCGAAACTGATCAAGAAAATCAAAATCTGGAACGTACCAGCAAGATTTGAAGAGATAAACAGAAGCGCGTTATAGGAATGAGCTCTAAAAGTAAGAAGCTAAAACACAATTACATTGATCGTACAGACAATTTTCCTAATAGCCGTCGGGACACGTGACGAGTTTGGGTACTACGCCCGGGACTCCCGTGTCGATCCAAGTTGTAGATGCAGTCCAAGAGATCACATTTCTTAGTTTCGCTGGAGTAGAGAACATTTTTGAGCGACTCTTGCAATTTTCCAGCGACTTTTCTCATGATGGGAAATGTTTCACAGTCACACGACTCCATCAAGTACTTCCTAATAAGGCCAATGACGCCAGAGAAATCATATAGACAAGAGAAGTCACATGAGACTTGATGAGTTTGCTCGTAGCACGTGAGTATTTACGCGAGTCTAGGGCGTACTAAAAGAATGACTGGTATGATGAACCACACCTCCGTTATAATTATCTTTTCCGAGGCTGGGGCAGGCTTTTGCTGGGCGATGATGCTCTTCCACTTGTGGAGATCAGTGTTGTAGCCATTCAGGCCGTTCTCTTGAACCTCACATTTTCCGCATTGCACATTTGCTGGGCCAAACGCAGCTGCTTGTTCATTGACAGCGATATGTGACTCAGGATCCAGCAGAAACCTTCATCCATGTGCTCGGCGCGCACCACTCTCGCGTTGGTGAGCATATACTAGATGAAGGTCTTGAGGAAGCTGTGCTGTTGCAACGTCTGTGTGTCGCACACCACTCAGATGCCGCCGCGCTCGGGTCGCGGCCACGTTCAGACGACGATCTTCTGCCAGGAAGCCAATCTCTCCTTTGGTGTTAGAGCGAACTAGTGTTAAAATTACTGCTTCCTTTTTTCTGCCTTGGAAGCCATCCACAGTCTGGACCTCCACTTCAGGATAGTCAACTTGAACGAGTGACCGCACTAACTTCACCTGTTGACTGTAAGGAGAGATCACAGCAACCTGCTGCTGACTCAGTCCTGCTGATATCATTTTCTGCACGAGAGCCAGAACCATGGACGCCTCGCCTTCGTTGCTCCTGCTGGCTGTGATGCTCTCTTCAAAGCCTGGACAGGAGCTGGTGTCCACAAGCAGCAGTGGCACACCAGTGTACTCATTGTTGGAGACATAAGGTAGATCCTTGAGCAAATATTGAGACACAGATTCATGTGCAATGAGTTGATTGTTGTACAGAGCAGCTGAAGACCAAGACATTATGTCCACATGCATGCGATATTGCACCGAGTTTTTTTACAATTTTTGAGCCATGCAGATCTATTACTCGTTCCATAAGTGATATCAAGAGCGCAGAAGCTTCAAGAGAGAGGACTGTTGAGGGAGCTGCTGGTGATCGCCAGCCAAAACCAACTTGGGGGAACGTCAGACACTGAGATAACAAGATGCTTCAGTGCCCTTTCATCAATGACAGTGAGGCCAAAATGGTCCTTTTTGAGGTACCTCATTGCATTACTAGTGTGAGCTGACATCAGAGTGCACAAAACCGCATCAGCACCTTGGATAATATCTCTGAGCATTCTTTTTTGTATTTCATTTAACTTGTTTCTCAACTGTCCCAGTTTCTTGTAGGTGCTGTCTCTGTCTTTTGTATGTATGAAGTCACGCCTTCTCGTCAAATTGATCTCATTTTGGATGTCCTTCACAATTTCACGCCCATCATAATTGTGCATGAGAGCATCAATTGTGTGCCTTTGAGTGGCAGGTGTTGTACGAGCAGGATGACCTATCCTGACCACTCGTATGCCAACATTGTCAAGTCTTTCTACCAGATTGTCAACACCCAAGTTAGAAGGAGCAAGAGCCAAACTTTCAGACCCATTTTTACATGCTGTCGGATGATTTCTATCAGAGTTGTGATCTTGCCAGTGCCATTAGGCCCATGCACAACAGCAAGGTCCTGCTGCTTCACAACAAAATCTAGTCTCTTGTTGGGACCGATCTAAAGTTTTGTTGAAGAAAATCAACTGGTTAGAAGAATTTGATGATGTTAGCTTAGGAGGGAGCCTGAGGACGGGTGGCATTGGGTCACATTCTCCAAAAAGAACTGCTGACAAGTGACTAGAGGGACCTTGAACTTCAGCCATAAATTTGAGGGCTCCCAATATGCGTTTAATATTCTCCAGCGAGGGAAAGTGCTTAACTGAATATGATGAACCTTCTTGAAATTCAAAGGCTTCATCAATAGTGATGTCGACATCTTGCTTTGATATATTAAGAATAATGCCATCTCTGCAATGATCTTCTTGACGGCACATGGGCCCACCACTGTAAATGCTCACATTATCTATCACCTTTTCTTAGGCCATGAGGAGGCAAGGTTCGGTGTGCATAAGAAGCAAATGTGATGCATTTTCGTCCAAAGCGACATTTTACTGAAACAACTTTCAAATGAGAAAGAACTCCTGGCACGCCTTCACCACTGCTATTTACTGTCTTCATCACTTCCCGTTCATTTTCTGCATCCCTTTCCAACAAATGGAGCTTTTGCAATCTCAAAAAATCATATCGTGTCATTTTGTAGAGTTTACCAACACTAATTTCAGATAGCGGTTCTTGTATTGAATCTGTATTGGATTTCTTTTCATCTTGAAGGCAACTTTGAGTGGACTCGCTAGAAAGTTTAGAATTAATTGCCTTAAACACCATTACTCTGTAGAGTCAGTAAAACGTGGTAAAGGGAACAGTGAAATGGAGCGCAAGTATTCAAATATAGATTTCTGATTAATTTTGTTCTCTATGAATGCCAGAACCTTTTTTTATGCCATCAAATGCTTTTTTGTTACTGCTTTAGCTACAACTTATAACGTAAAATTCCTGTTTATGGTCGCAGAATCAACGTATCTGAATACTTGCGCGTGTGCTCCCATGCCATTCATGGGCGAGGACGGACTTCTCGACATCTATGTCAGCTTTGATGGATCATGGATGACACGAGGTCACAAGTCTCACATAGGCATCGGTTGTGTTGTTGAATGTAACACCGGCTTTGTGATTGACATGGAAGTTCTGTCCAACTTCTGCCATTTGTGCTCCGCGAAAAAAGCTACTTTGTCCTCGGACGAGTTTGCCCTTTGGATGCGGACGCACACCAGATGTAAGAAGAATTTCGAAGGAAAGGCTGGTGCCATGGAGAAGGAAGCCACCGTGAAGATTTGGAACAGGTCGACACAACTTGGCCTCCTTTACGTCACATTTCTAGGTGACGGTGATTCGGCAGCATACAAGGCGGTCACGGAAATGAATGATGGAGCAGGCCCGTATGATGTCCCTGTTCAGAAGGAGGAATGCATAAACCATGTCTCAAAAAGGCTGGGGACGCGTCTCAGAGTGTTGAAAGCAAAAATCAAGGTTGTTACCACGACCAAAGCGGGAAAGCAAGTCATGAGGAGCAAATATGCTGGAAAAGAAATGTTGACTGATGCAGTCATTGATGCTCTGACATTACGGTTTGGTCAGAACATCAGAAAGCATGATTTCACTGCAGATGTTGCTACTGTGAGAACATCCATCATGTCAATATACTCCCACTCCATCAGCACAGATGCAAATCCGAAGCACTTTAGCTGCCCCCGTGGAGCTGACTCGTGGTGCTGGGTCCGCACAGAGCGGAAGCGCTGGGATAGGTCCCAGCCCCTCAATCCACCAAGAACATATGGTTGGCGAATTTACCGCAAGCATTGTTGTCCGACATCATGAAGATTTATGTCGATTTGACAACAGCAGAGCTATTGCGGCGGTGCATCAAACAACGAACGCAGAACTGCAATGAGAGCCTGCACTGGAATATATGGCTGCAGTGTTCAAAGGAAAAACACGCGACGATGGATCGCGTTCGCTCTGTTGCTCAAACTGCCTGTGAACATAACCTCGGTCATGTGGAAGGCAGCTTTCTTCAAGCTCTTGGCCTGCAGTCGCATGAATTGTTTACGTCACTAAAAGCTGAGAAGCGCGTCTTCACTCCTGCTAGGAAGAAAGTGAAGCGTTCCTCCAGTAATCCCGATCCCTCATACGGCGCGGGCATATTGTTCCTCTAGGTTCCCCTGGAAATAACTGTTAGAAATAAGGTTCCCCTTAGAACATTTTCACTGGGAACCTTATTTCTAACAAGTTAATGGCAATATGGTAATGAAATAATTATGAATTAATCATAATATGTTAACAAATTAAGGGTAATAACTAATAAGCATACGTTAAGGTGCCGCCGAGGCGGTAACGACTAGATAGCGGCACGGCGGCATCTTAAACATGCCTCGTGTCCAAGCTTCCTGGCCAAACTGACTAACTGAATTGTACGCTGCAGAAGAGTATGAATGTGGACTATAAGTAGTCTGTAGGAACGTAAGTTAATCTATTTTTCGCTTGCGTGGGCCTGCCATACACAGTAAAAACCTTGCTTGCCTTTTGCCCGAGATGCCTAGTTATACGAAATGTAGGTACTTTTTGGCAAAATTAGATTAGAGCCTTTCATTTGGAGTGATTTTAATGAAGAGTAAATAAACGTACAAAAGAGCTGCCAGTCAGGCAACCGTATACTAACACTCTACAGCAGCCCTTAGATGAGTTAGATCATAGCTGCCCAATATTATTGAGCGTCGTATTGACAGTGGATGCAATCGTGCCCCCAAATGTACAACCGTACGGTATTGCGCAAACGGCACCTATCATAATTTCAAGAAGTCAATATGTTGGACAAAACTGACTCGTGTTGTCATAATTGCGAGACAAAAAGTTGTAGGTTATAGAAGAAAAATTGCTTGCAAGTTGCAGTCGAGTCGCAGTACGGTAGGAAGAATCTTGCTAGCACTGCCAATGTTTCATTGACGGGTACTGGATAGGGAGTAGTTTAATTATAAGTATCAATATATGAATTAAGAGTACTTCTTAACAAGTGGCTCATACTACTCCCCTCAAACGATTAGTATAATCTTTGCATGTAACACCCATAACGCTGGAAAACCACTATAACGCTCAATAAAAATCACATAAAGTTTGCCGGCATGTGATGCAGCACAACCACTTCGAACGACCGCTAGGAACGCACTGAGCGATCAGGGCGAAACTGCGAAATGCTGAGCCTGGAAGGAGACTGAGTTTCTGTGGAGCCGTAGCCTTTGTATAGTTGCAAGCTGAAGTTTCGTGAGGCAGCTCTCTCTTGAACAGTCGAGCGGCTTTGCAGCATGAATGTCTTCCAAGTTCGGATAAATGCGTATTTGTTTGACTATATTCAATTTTGCTCAGTGCATGTCGTAAAATGCTTCCATTCAAGAGAGCGTTATTAGCAGCATAGTGTAGAAAAGTTGTCAGTCGTCAGATCAGATCTGAATCCAAGACAGTAGTCGACCGACGTCTTCCATTTACAAGTGGTATTTCAATCAACAAGACCACGAATTGTATTCGTTTCATATCTTTAACGGCCTGACGAGTGACTACCAGCGCTACATTTATTCCTACCGACTAACGACGAGTATTAACATCTAGCAAATGATCATTGAGCTAAGAGTATGAAGCTCGTGGCAGATTAATAAGAAACCTAGCACAGGTGAGCACGAACAGGAGAGCACGATTGGTATACCTAGTTGCCTAAGCCTTAGCAGTTGCGCCATCGCCCTGCAGACATTCTCAAGAGAATATCTTGCTAGTAAGTGGCAACTTGCTAAAATTGACAATTATAGTCACAATGCTGTCCGCGGGAACCTAGAGTGAAGAAACGCGCTAAAGAAACTACTGGCTTCACTGGCGCTGTAACTTCGGCCGTACAAATCTCATGCAGTCGAGCTATGTTACATTCATCCTGCAAATTTTCTAAACTAATGCCTAGCAGGTTCATCCACGACTCGTTGCGGTACACACAATTAATTTCTTGCTTAACGACTCCAGTAGTCGATAAAATCGCAAAGCGAACTGCTTTAATTATCTCCCAATCCCAAATTAAAATAGTATTGAAACTCCAACCTAGTTCACTTCAAGCCTATATGATTCAACGTCCAGTGTTGAAAACTTTAAAATTCCAACATTGTTAGCGTTCAGATTTCAAAGATCTTGAACTAAGAAAAATAGACAAGCGCAGTCGATCGAAGCTCAGGGGGCACTGCGGTCTTCAAAGTTCCGGCGTCGTTTTTATAGCTTTGTCTTGACTACAGTCTGCGTCGAAAATTTGCGGTCATTCAGCACGTACATAGTTTCATTTTGAGGTGCCGAATAAGTCAATCAGGCATCTC